CCCCCCAGACAGGGTTTCTCTGTAGGTTTGGAGGCTGTCCTGGAACTAGCTCTTGTAGATCAGGCTGGTCTCAAACTCAAAGAGATCTGCTTGCCTCTGCCTCCCGAGTGCTGGGATTAAAGGTGTGCACCACCACCACCCGGCATGAATTAAAATTTTTATTACATATATTTATTGGAAGGGTAGGCATGTGCCTTGTAGAAGTCACATTGTGGGAGTTGGTTCTCTTTATACCATGTAGAATCCTGGGGCTCAAACTAAGGTAAAGCACCTTTATCTACTGAGGCATCTCACTGTCCCTAAATGAAAGTTATTGAACTTTGCTGTCTTTAAATTTTTCAAGGACTTTTTGCTTAAACTAAGCAGATTTATCAGGGGAGATATAAGGGAGAAGAGAGGATTTCTTTTTGAGGAGTTGAAGAGACCTTTGCATTGTTCCTAGAGCTTGGTTTAATAAATAAAGACCAAGGGCTCCCTATTTAGATGGAGCCAGAGCTTTACATACGAGGCATGCACTAAGCTCTGTTCCCAGCCTGAACTCAGTAATTTCCTACTTCTGCTTTCACTAAGCTACTCAAGCTAATCTACTGTGAAATTCTGTTTTTTTCTCTGTCATAAATCTATATGTAAGATAATTTTCCATTGTATATCTTCCTCACTCTTATCTTCATGCTGACAAAAGCACCTTACCTTTTGGGAAATACTACAACATGTTGGAGTTAGTTTGCTTTTTTTTTTTTTTTTTTTTTTTACAGTTTTTCTGTGTAGCCCGGGGGCTTGAATTTCCAATCTATACCTCAGTATCCTCAGTGTTAAGATACAGTTGTGTACCACTAAGGCTACTTGGCTTTTTTCAAAATGGATTCTCTATTGCTAACTTAACTACTGAGCATAAGCAGTCCTTCCTCAGTCTGCTAAGTTGTTAGAATTATAGGTATGCATCACTGCCACCATTTGTAGTCTCTTAACAACTAGAAAAAAACAAAACAAAAAAAATCAGTTATATTTTATTTAAAAGTTTTCTAAATGCATGTATGTGAGTGGTTGTGTATGTGAGTGGTCCTATAGAAGCCAGAGGTGGCAGAAACCTTGGAGCTAGAGTTACAAGCAGTTCTGAGTCGAGCTTGAGCTCTTACTGCTGAGCCCCCAAATCAGTGATCTTAATAACAATTGTAGTAGAAACATTTCTAAGTAACCACTAAAAGTTTCTAAAATGTACAATTTATACTTCTTAGGGACTCGTTTTTTAAAACTTTTCAGTGCATTTTTTTCTCCTTAAATACTTTCGCGGTTTTAAGGCAACTGTTTAAGTAGTCTGTTTTCTAAGGTTTGAGGGGTTTGTTTTTGTTTTGAAATGTGTCATCGGTTTGTTACTATTGAGACTTTGAAGTCCTGACCCTCTTCTACCCATCAGCTGCTGGGATTACACCACACCCAACTTTATTTTCTGTCCTGTTTGTTTTTCTCTCACTTTATTGATGTCCCTGCTTGTGCTTTGGGTTTTTGTTGTTCCTCTAAAGTAGCTTTTGCAGCCTCCACAGAGGATCTGTGTTGATTTCTAAATAGCCAGTGAACTGTTAATGTATCCTAAGATGTAGGGGTCCCTAAAGATAGCATTCATAGTGGTGTCTATGTAGAAGATGATTAGCTAGTTTTGTTGCATGTCTGATAGTGAAGATTATAAAATTGTCTTCTAGAATTAAATTTTAGGTGCCGGGATGTAACTTTATTGGTAGAATGCTTGAATGCTTGCCAAGAATCCATAAAGGTCTGGGTTCCATCCCCAACCACTTGAACTGGGGGGTTTATAGTCCCAGCACTTGAGGTAGATACAGACAGAGAAGCTAAAGGTCATTTTCAACTTTGCAGTGAGTTTGAAGCCAACCAGAAATGGACATGAGACACTGTCTCAAAGGGATAAAACCAAATTAAATTTAAGTTTTACTTAGCTGTACATAGAAATAGAAGCTTGAGATCAATGCTTAAAATAAGCAGGATGATAGACATTTAGAGAAGGCTATTCTGTCAGGAGGTGTTTAAACACTAGCCTGAAGAAGTCTGTATTGTTAGTTGTAATAGTTGCCCAAAGCAGCTGGCGACTTACACATTGAGTAGAGGAATATAACAAGCAAGGGTTCCCCTTAGTACCCTGATGGTTGATAGCACATGGCACTTTTGCAGGTTGTTCTTGCCAATTAGATGTCATTTTCTACCCTTGAAAAATGTTCTTTAACCTATTCTTGTAGGCAGAAAAGCAACTTGCCAGCAGGGCATGGTGGCTCACGCTTTTAATCATTGAAGGGAAACTGGCCACTTGAATAGTGTCGTCCCCCATTCCCCACCCCCACCCCCATCCCCTCTGCCTTGCATCCCTAACACTAGCCACCAAGGTCTTTCCCCTTATTTGGATACTCTCCTAGCCAGACTCATTTCTGAGGATGAGTACCAAAGTCCAGCAATCAAACCCCCCCTTTGGTTTACCTAATTAACATACTCAATCAAAACATCCCACTGAATTTCAGCCCATTCTAACACAGTCCTCCCCTTTTCCTCTTAAAAAAATTACACAGACAGCTGGGCGTTGGTGGGAGGCAGAGGCAGGCGGATCTCTGTGAGAGAGGCCTGGTCTACAAGAGCTAGTTCCAGGACAGCCTCCAAAGCCAGAGAGAAACCTTGTCTCGAAAAACCAAAAAAAAAAAAAAAAATTACACAGACTGCTCTTCCAGAGGACCCAGGTTCAATTCCCAGCACCTGCAAAAACTCAAAACTGTCTGTAACTCCAGTACTAGGACCTGACTCCCATGGCAAAACACTAATGCTTGTAAAATAAAAATAAATTCTTAAAAATCTTAAAGAAAATCATACTTGCAAGGTCATTTGCTACTACTGTTTTCTGCCTGAGTCAGAAAGCAGCTGCTTTAACTTTTCTTCCCCTTAATAAAGGATCTCTGTGAAAGCATGTTTGGGTATGGTTTGTGCCTAGTCCAGGGTTCTGGAGGAAACTCCCAACTGTGCTGCTTCAATGCTGACACTCAAGGCAGAGGCAGGCAGATCACTTTCAAGGCCATGGTGCTCTGCATAGATCCAGCCAAAAATATATAAAAAAAAATATAGTGAGATTCTGTCTTCAACAACAAAACATAACATTGCTTTACTAAGAAATAGAGGGAAGTTGGAAGGTTCTGAACACAAAGAAATAGTTAAATATCATTTTAAAGACATGGAAATGCCAATTATTATTTTGGTTTTCCATGCCGTACACATGCATATATTAAATTAATCACACTATACCCCGTAAGTGTGGACATGGTAATTTAAAAGGCTGGGAACAATACTGTTTTGAGATACATGTTTTCAAAAAGAATAGTTCCATGCAGTTAAGCACATTTTTCTCTTTCAGGGAAAGAGCATAACTAAAACTAGAATAGTGTTTTTATTCTGCTTTGTTATAACCATTGGTAATATCAGAACAAATGTGGTATGATCTCACGCAGAATTTGAGAAGAGCATGAGGGCGTGTTTGGTGTGTTCACAGTAGAGAACACTTATATTCCCCACTCCCAACAAATTCTCTCTCTCTCTCTTTCTCTCTCTCTCTCTCTCTCTCTCTCTCTCTCTCTCTCTCTCTCTCTTTCTCTCTTTCTCTCTCCTGGGGATTGAACCAAGGGCCTTTAGTTGGCAAAGTGCTTTACTGATCAACTATGGCCAGGCTCCTTTTTGGCTGTGCATGCTTGCTTGCTTGCAGACATAGTCTCTCTAGCTCTGACTGCCTTGGAACTCACACTGTAGACCAGGCTGGCCTTGAACTCAAGCCTGCCTCTGCCTCCCAAGTGCTGGGATTAAGGCATGCACTACCACTGCCTGGCTCCTTTTTTGTTTATATGAGATAGCCTTGATAAGCTGTAACACTTACCTAGGGCATGCCATCCTTCAGCCTTCCTAGTAACTAGAATTGTAGGCAGGTTGCCACTGTGCCCAACTTGTGTGTGTAATTTTACCTTGGTATACTTTTTTAATCTGTCTTATATAAATTGAGAAGAAATAATGAGGCTAATGACGTGTATTTCTGATTAAGCTATGTTTGTGGTTATCTCAGAGTTAAAAATAATCCAACACAGTTCTTAGTCTAATGATTGTGGATGTGATTTTTTAATTAATAAAGGCAATTTCAATGTAACCACTAACATGAGTTTGTTTTTTACTAGATGGAAACAATATGAAGCATATGTTCAAGCTTTGGAGGGAAAATACACAGATCTTAATTGTAAGTTTGATCTTCCTAAATGAAGATTGTATAGTTATCTTTTGAAAACTTGTTAAAGTATAAATTGGCTTTGTTGAAGCAGATATGGTTTTGTTCAAGCATTTTATTATAAGAGCTGTGTCCAGGCACAATAAGGAGCTGGAAAATGTAATGAATGATGTTTGAAAGGTGGTTTCTTCTGACAAATCCCTGGGCACGAAGGAAGATGGATATGTATTCTAATGAACAGTGGCATGCCTGATGGGTAACTTAATATCTCTTGGAGCTTTCAGTGTGTGCCTAACTACCTTCTACACAGGAATTTTAACTTCATGAACTGTTAGTAAAGGAGGGATAATGCATAGAAACAGGTAGTAATAGACTTTTGAGAACCTAAATAGCACTTTGTAGAATATAGCTCCTTGTGTACAGATTTTTCAAAATCTCCAAAGAACAAACTTTATGCTTTAAAACAACAACTGTTGGTCTGGTACTTTCATTTAGTTAGAATAACATACTGTTGTACGAAGTATAATAAATAACTACTATAGTTTGTCCCAGTCTAGATAACTGAATCTCCCCAAATTTTAATAATTGTGTGGCTATATTACTCATATATATGTGACATATGAGAGTTTTTGGTGCTGTTTGTTCATGTAGTCAGTGGCTTTTGTTTTGGTTGCCAAGGCTGGCCTGGAAAGATTTCCCTGTTACCGCCTCCTGAGTGTTATAAAGACAGGTTACTGCCAAGCCAGGCCAGTTATTGTCATTGTTATATTGAGTAAGGTTAGAATGTATTATTTTGGGATTTTTGTAAATACTAAATGTACTGTAAGTAAGTGTAGATAGTGTGGCTTCCTGTATTTAGGTAGGATTAATTAAAGTACAGCAACAGCTCAATGTAATGTTACAGTTGGGGAGCATTAGCCATTGCTTCCTGGGGGGAGGGGTCTCATGATCAGGAACAAGTGTCATTATTTAAAAACAGTATGGAAACTAAAGGCAATGAATTTTTTGATTAGTCTTGACAAAGACAACTTCCTTTTGGTTAGTTGAATTTGATCTTGAAGTGAAATTTGTAATTTTTTTTTTTTTTTTTTTCCTCAGCAAATGATGTGACTGGCTTAAGGGAATCTGAAGAAAAATTAAAGCAGCAACAGCAGGAGTCTGCACGAAGGGAAAACATTCTGGTCATGCGATTAGCAACCAAGGAACAAGAAATGCAAGAGTGTACTGTGAGTATCTCAACCTTCCAATCACTAGTTGAGGAATCCACATCACTGCAGCTCATTTTAAAGCAGTGGTAACAGCAAATAGAAGTGTATACTTTGTTAAGGGTGGAATGGAGAGTGAGTGTGTCATTAAAGAGTCTTGGATACTTGCATTCATCTTGATTCCTAATTTTAATACAGTTTGGATTTTTTGGTTTGGTTTGCTTTTTTGTTTTTGCCAGACCTAGACAATTTGCACTACTCCGGCTAAATCTCCAACCATTGTTTACACAGTGGCACTTTAGATCATCATGTCGGATCAAAGACTGGGTGGTTTTGGTCGCCAGATCAGTTTTGAGTTTTGTTTTAGATTTTTGTTTTGTTTTGGGTTGCATTTTTGTTGTTGTTTGTTAACCTTTTCTGGTTATTATTTTGTGTGTGGGGGGGTGGTTTTGACACAGGGTTTCTCTGTAGCTTTGGAGGCTGTCCTGGAACTAGCTCTAAGTAGACCAGGCACCTGGTCTCAAACTCACAGAGATCCGCCTACCTCTGCCACCCGAGTGCTGAGTGCTGGGATTAAAGGAGTGTGCCACCACCGCCCAGCCTCTGGTTATATTTTTAATATTTATTTTATGTGTATGAGAGTTTGGCCTGCATTTATGTCTGTACACTACATATATGTCTGGTGTCTGTGGGGGTCAGGGGTGGGCATTGAATTCCCTGAAAGTGGAGTTATTAACTGTTGTAAGCCACCACATGAGAGCCGGAAACTGAACCTAGGTCCTTTGCAAGAACAACCAGTGCTGTTCACCCGGAGCTGTCTCTCCAAACTTTCCCCTTAATAGAACAGCATTGTTCTTGTAGTTACAATTCATAATTGCGGCTTTGCAGGCAGTACTAGACACAAAAACAGAGAAGCACAGAAAGTTGGAGTTTTCTTTGTTAAGGATGAAAAGTAGTTAAGGGCTTGGCAACTTAGGAATTTTTTGTTTATTTGGTTGTTTGGTTGGTTTTTGTTTTTCGGGGCAGGGTTTCTCTGTGTAACAGCTCTGGCTGTCCTGGAACTCACTTTGTAGACCAGGTTGGCCTCAAACTCATAGGGATCTACCTGCCTCTGTCTCCCAAGTGTTGGGATTTCAGGCATGAGTCACCACCACCTGGCTGGGGGCTTAGGTTTTATCCTAGGTGTAAGTAACGGCAAAAAGTTTTTTCTTAGTTTTAACATTTTTTTAGTAATTTTTGTTTTCTGTGCCATGTTCTCACTAGGTAGCTCTGGGTAGCCTGAAGCCCCTATGTAAACCAGACTGGGCTTGAGCTCACAGAGTTCCACCTGCCTCTACCTCAGTGCTGGGATTAAAGGTGTGTACCACCATGCCCAGCTACCAGTACAGAATTTTCAGTAAGAGACTCATGGAGTTGATTAAATTGCATTTCAGGTATATGGCTGGTGTGAGTATGGAAGGTAGATTTCTTTCTTTATTCTTGTTTGTGTGTACTTGAAATATGTGACCAGTCCTAAAATCTCCAGTAACTGAGAATGGCTGAATTTGTGATCTTCCCATCTCTATCTGAGTGCTGACATTACAGAATTCACCAACACACCTTGTTTATGCGACTTTGTGCATGGTAGGCACACTTTACTGAGTGACAGCCCGGCATCTAGAAGGTAAACTTGAAGCTGGGACTTAGAATTTAAGAACACCAGCTAGTCAAGAAGCAGGGTGTTTAAATCATATAATAAACTCTCTGGTAGGATGTGATAAGATAGTCTCAAGGCACGATCTATAGGACTTGATCAGTTAGATTTTTTGGGGGGAAGGATTTAAGGATAAATCCTAGGTGGGTCTCAATTTATATGACAGACCAACTGAAAGAGATCAAATTTAGAAAGAACATAGTGTTAGGAAAACAGTAGCTGTAATCTAACGTCTTCTGTCCATCCCACCACCAGCCTCCAGGTAAAGAGTGATTAGTAGTGATCTCAGTGATCAAAAGTGGGGCAGAACATTGGTTCAGCTGTTAAGAGCACTTGTTGCTCTTGAAGAGGACCTGCATTAATTGCCAGCAACCAGATGATGGCTTACAAACAACTCCAGTCCCAAGGGATCCAAAGCCCTTTCCTGACCGCTCTAGGTACCAGGAACACATGTGGTGTACACACATCTAGGCATAACACATAATAAAATGAATAAATCTTTTTGGTTTGGTCTTGTATGCTGAGACAAGCTCTCTCTGTGTAATCCTGACTGTTCTGGAACTCACTATATAGAGCATGCTGATCTCAAACTCAGATCCACCTGCCTTTGCCTCCTGAGTGCTGGGGTTAAAGGCATGTGCCACCACACACAACCAAATGACTAACTCTTCCAAAAAAAATAGTGTCTGGGCAAAAGTTAGTTTTAGTGAAAGTAGGACTTGTGAACTGTGAATTAGCAGTCAGGAAAATAGGCTGCTTTAGTAGGACCTGTTACTGTTGAGGGCTGCAATACAGTAAATTCAGCAGGTGACTGTTCAAATGAAAACAGGACTGAGATTATTTCTGTAGGGTGAAGGACCTGAGCTCAGTCCCCTGGAACTGTTTAACATATTTGCGTGGGGAGGTGTGTTTGTAATCCTAGCCTTCAGGAGGCATAGCCACTGGAGTGAGGCAGATCCCTGGTGCTTCCTGGACGTAATCAGCAAGTGTTGGGCCAGTGAGGTGCTTGGCCTCCAAAAACAAAGTGGCTGTTTTAAGTGTGGAAATCAGAGGACAAAATGCAGTGATTAGTTCAGGTCCGAAGACTTGGTAGCAAGTGCCGTCACTCACTGAGCCATCTTACTGGCCCTTAATTTTTTTTTTTTATTTTTTGTTTATTTAGTATGGGTATGAGTGTACACATTCCATGACACACATTTGGAAGTCACAGGACAACTTGTGGGAGTTGGTTCTCTTTATGTCATTGGATCCTGAGAATTAAACTCAGGTTATCAGGCTTGACAGCAGACATCTTTAGGTGCTTAGCCATGTCACTTTCCTCATGTTCTCTTCCCTAGCAAAGGGAATTTATTCTAGTCATATTTGCTTCCCTTTCATGACCAAAGTGTTGAATGTTAAATTATTTTAGTAGCTGACATACTTTGAATTAAGAGGTATACTTTTTGTTTAAAATTAATTACTTTAAAATTTTTTCATAAGGGCTGGCAAGATTGCCCAGTGGTTAGAGTGCTTTCTTGCTGCTTATGCAGAGGACTGAAGTTCTCTTCTGGTACCCACAGCTATCTATGATTCCACCTCAAGGATCTGACAGCCTCTGAGAACACACTCGGGTGCATGCTCATACTGACATACAGATGCATGGGCTCATGGCTTTAATCCCTGCTCCGTGGGGTATGGGTTTCTGAATTCCAGGCCAGCCAGGTCTATGTAGTAAAACTTTGTCTTAAAAGAAAATATAGTATCTCCAGAAATTAAACATTATTCCTTTCTATTTGTATGCAGGGAACTTGTAATTAAATGCAGTTTCAAGACAATCAGTGTATTTGTGCCTTCTACTAAATTTATAGTAGGAAACTTAAACTTTTATTCTATTTAAAATAGGGTACAATAGGGCAAATGGACAAAGATGCTTGCTATCAAGCCCAGTGACCTGAGTTCAACCCCCAATACCCACGTGGTGAAAGGGGACTGCAAGTTTTCCTCTGATCACACTACTGGCCACACAAACACAAAATAATAAATATAATGTTTTAAAAATTAAACAGGTGTTAGGGCAGCACAAGACTGGATCCAGTTGTACTTTGGATATGAAGGAAATGAGATGATTTTAGTTCATATTTTAGAAAATGTGCTTTTAGAGCGCTAGTAAATAGCATAACTGAGGTAGAAATTGAAAGTTTCATATGTAAGTAAGAGGGTTCTAGCACCATGCAAAAAGTTCTACACTACGAGTCAAGCATGAGTGCTAGGATCCTACTCACATCCAGTTTGCTTAATCTAGTTGAGTTATGTTGTACAACATTGTTATTCTATGATTCATATGTGGAAGAGAAAAATAGGAATGCATTTCTGCTTAAGATGTTATAGGATTTTCTGTAAAGCCTTGTCTCTACTCTTAGTTTACTTGTCCTGAACAACTTCTGCCTAAGCCAGTTCTACCTAAAACTCCCTGAAACAAGATTAGGATTGATTACAATTTGCACTTTTAAATTTAAAAACAAAGAGCTCACCAGTTCTTCTGTAATAGAATTTTAAACTTTGCTTCTTTCTAGCAGTTGTCAGATTCCTTAAAATAAAAACACCGTTTCTTGTTTTTTGTTTATTTTGAGACTAGGTCTCACTATATAGCCCTGGCTGGTCCAGAACTCAACTGTATAGATCAGACTATCTGCCTCCTGTGTATAGGGATTAAAGGCACGTACCCCCATGCTCAACTTGTTTTGTTTATTTGTTTGGTTTGGGTTTAAGATATTATTTTTAATAATGTGTGTGTGTGTGGGGGGGGGTTTCTGCTGGAGGATGCCAGAGATACTGGATCTCCCCTGGGCTGGAGTCATTAGGCACTTTTGGATGCTGAGGGCTGGAAGCTGGAACTTTCATCCTTTGCCTCTGTAAGATCAGTTTATACAATTAACTGCTGAGTATGATGCAGCACTTGTTTTATTTTAATACTGTCTTGGTTACAAAAATGTAACCCATCTTAACTGCCTTAAATAAACATTTGTTTTTTAATTTGTCACACACACATCCCCCCCCCTTTTTTGTGGTACTTAAAATCTTCGCTTCACTTCCTAAGTGCTAGAATTATAGGCATGTACCACCGTGCTCAGTTTGAATTGGTACTTTTCAGATTGAGATGGTGAGTATTTGTACTGGAGGTTCCAAGGACCTTGCTCCACATGCTCTTGCTATTACAGAACTACACCCTTAACCTTAGGGAGACTTTTGATATCTAAGGGGGTTACATACCTAACAAGTAGGTTGACCCACTATCAAGTTAATAGAAGAGAATTTCCCTGCCTTAAGGATTTCTTTTGATTTGGTAGTAATTGTTTCTTTTGGTTTGCACAGACTCAAATCCAGTACCTCAAGCAAGTCCAGCAGCCGAGTGTCGCCCAAC